TTTTTTTAGTTGTAGATGGACATAATAGCTTTATTTATTTTTATGTGGTTCTGAGGATGGAACCCAGTGCCTCACACATGCTAGAAATGTACTCTATGGCCCCTGAAACTATTTCGTATTGTAAACATTTATGAAAGGACCACAACTCCTTTGAGAAGAGTTTTCAGGAGTTAGGCCTCAATCCTATTTTTTCTGCTGAGCCACCGTGCTCCCAATACTATTCACTTAGAAGAGATACATGTGTATTTCACCCAGTCTACTTTTCAGTAGAAATGCTGGGGAGTGTCTATGGCCTTAGGCTCTAGTAAATATTTTTTTTCATATTTTTTTATGTTATTGACGCTTTCTATTCAGAATATTCTTTGTGTTGGTGCCTTCCCTGTTATTTAGCAGTTGCTTTCACCTCTGGCAGTGTAATACAAGAAAGGCATAATGCCAAATCTAGGGCATGTTTTCTTTGCCAGGCAACATTTGCTAGTGGAAAGCTTGATTTCTCAGCACAGTTCATATAACTTTATCCACTTATTTTATGTAATATCATAGAGATTTGTCAAACTTTCATTATTTCCATTTGGCTGATTCACACTATTGCCTTTTGGTTTAGAAGTTGAAAAGATAAAAAGACTGAGTAATTACCAGGTCAATTTACTTGAACAGTATTAAGCCAACCTTCTGCTTCCTTTATAGATTTCTTTCCTGCACTTAGTTTTTCTCTCTAGAATTATGTGTTTTTATATTGAATTTATAGATTGTTTTCTTAAATGATCATCAAGCTGGCAAAAACAGTATTTGATCCTAAGGATGTATACTATGAAATGTTATTAAATATTGCCTCTCCTAAACTATAAAGTCATATAATCTTTGTTTCTTTAACAAAATATAGATCCAGAAAATGGTAGGTAGAACATGATCTTGGAATATATTAAAATTCATAAAGCGACTAATTTTCCATATTTTCATTTTATTAAAGTCTTATTTGCATAATATTCTTTGTGCCAATGACAAGGGACAACAGAGCTATTCTACAAGGTAGTTCTAAAAACTAGTATATAAAAAGTAATCACAGTAGAATTTCATGAGAAATAATTGCCCATAGAAATGGTCTTAAGAAATATCATTGTGACTTAATCAAATTGTGGAGCATGTTTTATTTGTTTTGTATAATTGGGGTCCTTTACAGGAGAAGTGCAATGACAATAAGAAGACCCAGTCAGAGAGGAATCAAGGCCAATCGGAAGAAAAACAGCATCAATCAGAAGGAAATCGAGGCCACTTAGAGAGATCTCATAGCCGATCAGTGAGATCTCTTGACAAATCCAAGAGATCTCATGGTCAATCAGAGAGATCTCGTGGCCAATCAGAAAGATCTCATGAGCAATCAGAGATATCTCATGGTTGCTCAGAGGGATCTCGTGGTCGCTCAGAGGAATCTCATGGTAGCTTGGAGAGATCCCGTGGTCATTTGGAGAGATCTAATGGTCATTCAGAGAGATATCATGATTAGTCAGAGAGATATCATGGTCAATCAGGGCGATCTTATGGCCAATCAGAGAGATATCGAAGATACTCACCAGGAGGAAGATTCAAATCATCACCAGAAACTGAGTCTGAATTTGACAGGTAAAAATACAAAGAATACTTAAGCATTAGTACATGTTAAGTGATATGGAAATGTAAAGACATGCTTTCTATTTCTATATTTTAATGGCTAAATGTGTGTTTGTTTTAACAGACATGTATTGGGACAAAGATATT